TGGGTGACAATAGCACCACTCATTACATAATTTGTATTTATAATTTAAACACAGTTTCTCTTATCATTCAAGTACAAAATAATTAAAAAATGGTGGATAAATGTGTTTTGGGAATTGTTTAATTTTCCTGTTCGGTTAAGTGCTGCTAAATGAACCCTAAAATTAACTGAGTATACCATATTACAAAAGTATATATTGAATTACGATTTACCCTAATATTAAATGACCAAAAATGATATATGGAATTGTGAAACAAATATAAATTTTAATAAGTACACCCTACTAACCATATTCAACCCTAATCAAGAGATTACTTGGTTCCCATCTTTGTGATCCATGAGTACAACTAGGGACAACGAAAGAAAGAGGCTGAAGTTGATTTCTGGCCATAGACTTTGGCCAGCAAAACAAAGCCACCGCTTCGAGGTAGGAGAATCTTAACTCATTACTAGCAAACAATAAAAAGATTAATATTTCTCAAAATCGATCCTTTCGTCTCCCTCTTTCTATGTTCATAGTGGATACCAAAAGTACACCTTAGAGCACTTGCTTTGGGGGAAAAAGTCTTGTTATTCGTGCACGTCCACCTTAATGTGGGGCTTAGAACAAGCCAAAACAGTTTTGGAAGGACACAAATGAATTGACCTCTTATTAGTATATTGCAGAGATATTATTCCAGTTTTATGTAGCATATATCAAAATAAAAGCAACATTAATAGGATCATCAGCAAAGATAATAACTACGAATAGTCCATCTAGAGAGGTTGGGAAAGTTGAGAACAAATAAATTTCACAGTAGCATAGTAGTATATAATTGAAACATGCATAAAAAATCACTATTAACGAAAGTGGTGGTGATTGCAAGAACTTGGAATTGCAAAAAAAGTGTCAACAGTTTTAGTAGAAGCATAAATCCATATGAAAAGTCAAAGATTTATACACACTATTAAAAAAATCAAGTTGAAAATCAACTATAAAATAATGCTACAAGTATTAGGGTGTACCATAGGTATTTTTGGTAGTTCAATAGGGTGTACTTAGTTAATTTTACATTTTAATTAAAATATTATGGTGTACTTAGATCATAGGGTGTACTCAATTAATTTTAGAATTCGTTTAGCAGCACTCAAAATATTATGAGATTTAAACACGGAATTCTTTTAAGAGGGCATCAATCCATAAATGAGGTGGTGCTTTGTAGATTTAAATGTCGTGGTGGTTGCAGGGAGGTGATGGTGAGGGAGGTGGTGACGGCAATGAAGGTGGTGGGTTGTTTGTGGCTAAAAATTCCAAGTTTTTTTTTTCCCACATGAAATTTCTAATTTTTGTTTTGTTCTTATTTTATGAATCCAAACAAGGGAAGAAAAAGTAACTATAACAAAACGAAAAGGATGTAATTCACCATTGACAATGAGGTGAAAGAGGACTTGAAAGAATCTAACATTAAAGCCGTTACTCACATTTGCAGTTTTTTTCAGGATACCTGTTACAGTAGCACCAATCTTTTACATTAGGAACGTATCTATTTAAAAAAATAATAATTAAATCATCACTGATGCAACCAAAGGATACAATTTGATGCTACATATTCGGTTAAGTGTGAAACGGAGTGGTATCTCTTCTCCGCTGAGCAGAAATGGATTGATAGTTCCCAAAACCGTGCAGACAGGATGTATACCGACATGTCAACTAGCCTCTTGTTTTACTGAATTTTTTTTTTGGACCAATGCCTCTTGTTTTACTGAATAGTTTAGAATAAGCTTGTAGTTAATAACTCCACTTAGCATTAATGTACAACCAGGGGATGCCCGAGCCAGGCCACACAAGACACAGAGCGTTGCGTCGATAGCCAGCCATCAGGTGTTGCAAGAAGAGGGGTCCATAACTCCAAAATGCACAAACTCCCTCCAGACTGCACTTTCACTTTCAGTCATGAAACTTCCTGAAGTGCTAGATTCAACTCTTGTGCAGACTTCGCAATTGATCCTCCTCTTCTATGGGCAAAAGAGTGAACAAAAGGATATTGGCACCTCTGGCATAATGAGTTAAAATGCAAAACAAAGTGTTGGTCAAGCCAACTTTAAAAATCTAAATTTTTTGAAAACAGGCACCTGGTAAGAGCAGACAAACAGGTTTTGACTTTTTCAAGCTCCATAAAACAGTTGTTGCAACGCTCCAGCCTATGATAAGCAATTCAAAATAGAAAGCCATCTCAAATGCGATCAATGCTTAAAATCTGTATATAAGGTAAAGAAAAATGTATATCACAACAAACAAAGCATACCTTTGCTCGGCTTCAATATCAACACCAACAGATGATGATGCGGACAATGTTGAATAGATCACAGAACCAAATACTCTAACCAGCTTGAGCAGCATTTCCAAAGAAATGCCTAAATGCCTGAATACGGTCAGGCCATCAAATAATGAGCAGCAAATTTGCAGATGAAAGATTCCAAGCACAAAATCAAATAAGTACTGGTTGAGATTTTGTTTCACAATTAGCCTTAGGAATGTTATAATTGCCTGTCAAATTTAGAAAATTTGCAGATGAAAGATTCCAGGATCACAAAATACATCACCCAGGTACATCCATCCCTGGAGAGAATTGTGATTAGAGTCCCCTCTTCCACCGCCACCAACAACCCACCCTCCCGCCTTTTTCTTTCTTGATTCCAAACTTCTTTAAACAATTGTTCCCATTAGGTAAAATTACATGCAACAATACAGCACTGCTTCTACTTCTTACAAAACATCTACCTAGTAACATGATTGCTCACATGGCATGTCACGAGTTTCATTCAACCTCCGCAGTACACCAGAAAACCACATAGCATTCCATATTATGAGTAAAAATAAAGTCAAAAGAAAAGGACAAAGAAAAAACGATAATCTCTGCAGGCAACATTACTCCCAAAAGAAGAGACAAAAATAAATAAATAAATAAATAAAAAATAATCAAAGGCTCAAAGCATATAAAGTTCAAAGAAATAACATAGTAGAATGATTTCCCATAGACAAAGCTTGCACCAGCTTTTCCAATTGCAAACTCAAATAGCCACAGCAAGTCATATTTAACGAGAACATGCCACAACAAATGAGTGGATGATACTTCTATGTGTACACATTGGGGTTGGGAAAGCATTTGGTGGGGGGGGGAAGAGGCACCTACAATATAGTGAACCTCCTTGTGTGATAGAACAATAGGAAAAAGACAACAAAGCAAACTTTTTTAATAGATGGCTTGGACGATTGTAGTACTGCAGTGCAGTTGACTACAACTAAAACTCACAAAGAAAAATAAAATAAAAAAAGGAAAGTTTCTAGAAGGTAGCAAATCTCTCCACATGAAACAATTTGATGTCATTAAGTTTCTAGAAGGCCTCTACCTAACAAAGACCCCAAATAATAAAAAAATAAAGAAAAAAGGAAGAGGTTGCTAAAATTCTTACCTATCCATGTTACTTTCTAGAAGGCCATTGAGGAGTGGCAGAAGACAAGTGCATATATCCAGTGTGACAATGTCAATTTTTTCTGTCATAATGCTAACTACATCCGCAATGACCTGGATTAAAAGCCCAAAAAATTAAAAAGATATTTAAGTTTTCACAATAACTGAAAGGGATATTTGTTCCACATTCAGTAGTATCTAGAAACTGAGGGCTAAGAAAAACAATTAAGACAATCCACAGAATATTCTTACAGCATGATCAGCCATCTTCTCCATTGCACCAATGACCCCCTTAACATCATCCCTTTCCCAATATCTATAGACTACCTGCAAACAGTTACCCACAAGATTCGTCAGTAAAATATATACCGTCTGCAAATCGTCACTATTATTATTGTGACTAAGCAACACTTCAACAATTGGTAATTCCTCATTGCAGCTCAGCTGTTCTTAAAGCTTGCTAAACTCCATTTGCAACCGTTAGGTGGTACCATTATTTTTATAATCCATCATAAACGCTAACCCCCTTTCTATTCGCTAGTTTTTCTCCCATTCCTAAAGCTAGTATCACAAAACACTGATATAACTGCTACTACGAAGCATTCAAAAGGTCTTTCATCTCCGTAGCCACAATGTTGCAAACAGGAAAAAAATAACAACAAAAAAAAAACAAAGGCACAAGCAAAACCTACAATTAAATAAAGAAGTATTGCATGCAATTTAATTTCAAACGGAGGACCTAAAGGACTCTTCTTGGACAGAAAATAGAAAGAAAAGAAATTATGTAAAAGAAAGAAAGATGGGATACAATAAATAATGGTCAAGAGAGCTGAGCATAATTGACTACCCAACCAACAAGCATTGAGCTCCCACCATCAACTCAAAAATACCCAAAGGTCATGTAAAGAAATAATAGATACATAGAGAAGATAACAGCACTGCACAAACACTTAAGCAAAGTCTCAAAATCAATAAAGATGACCTGTAATTTGGTTGAACGAGATTGCATGGAGCCAACAAATTGGTCATGTTTTTCCATGAGATCTGCAATAGCATCCTCATCACTAGCAGACACCAATTCTTTTTCAGCAGATGTAGGATAACCTCGCTGCTTAAACTTCAAACAACCATCCAGAAGTTATCATGAGAAAATGATAGATCTTATACAAGTTCAAGGTTTCCACTATGGCATTCAATTCATGGTTTCTAGCAGTTCTCATAAATGAAATCATGAGGAAAGAAAAATATTTTGAGAATTAGCAATAAATAAGCAATTAAGTTTAACTTATGGTTAAATGTCATTCTTTAAATTGAAATGCTAAAAGTCTGCCATCTTCTTAAATGCAATTTATGATGCATGTTAAGAAAGAAAGATGTCACAAAAGGGCAGAACAAAAATGTGGCAATACCGCATTCAAAGGGGGAATGTTCGCCGCAGATGCTGTTCCCAGGGTACTATTGGGTGTAGGTCCCTCGTAGTTAGAATATCTATCTCTTTTCTCCCAATTAACAGCAAGTGAGCGCATTCTTCCTAGATGTACCATATAAAGCTTCGGTCATACTTCATGAGACTAGTCATAGAAATGAAGCAGAAGTAAAAAGCTATACCTCCTCTTTGACCTTCAGCAGAGTATGCATCTCTGCTCACCTTGTGCCCTCGAGTTTCATCTAGATAAGAAATAAAAATAAAGGTCAAAGATTAAAATACTGGAGCTTTAGCATTGGCAGTATGACACTCCATCTCAAGAGGACATATGTACATGACTAAGATAGACAAAACCACATGCACAGTACAAGGCCATCAATCATTAGAGAGAACATTACACAAAATATAGAATTAAGCATTACGGAACAGAGAAACCAAGCTAAAGCACATGAGATATGACAGCATTTAATATGAAAAACATACACATGTTCCTTTAACTGCCATTAGTGAATCCAAATATGGAGAATCCATCCTCAGAGTAAGGGCCCCATCCCCTTTGCTGGCAATACCATCATCAAAGGGGTAGTTGTTATTATGGTTTTCATGCTCAGAGGCCCATCTGCCTTGCTTTCACACTAGTCTGAGAAGGCCCTTTCTTCGAGTAACTATTTGATAAAAACCTATGTGGAATAATGATTACCAATCATTTAATGAAATGAGATGGCTTGTGGTTCGACTGAATGCTGGGTTAATTCAACCAGCCTTGTACAACCTTTGCAACTGTGTGAAAATTAACTGTTTGATTCCCAAGCTAGTGTAAGAACACCTATAACATTATTGTGGTACCAAAAAGTGATTATTTAAGTAAGGGGTGAGGCAAAGGGGAGGGAGATCTCCACCACTCACACACCACAAACACACAGAATGGCTTGAGAGGCTGAGATTAGAAATCTAATATTTACAACATCCTGCCCGAAATAAATCATTTAAAGTATAAATATAATTTTCACATATTGAAAGCTTGGACAGCTGAAACTAGAAAATCCATCAAACTTGCAATATTATGGCTCATATATAGATATGTCATTGATGTGTGAACATCTTCAAATCCATAAGTAAAACTGAGATAAGATATATAACAAAGTTGACAAGCACCTCCAAAATCCAGATCCATATTTACACTAAATTGGAAATATACTAAATATGCCGAACTTCCATTAATATCCTACACCCTGGTGAAAACCATGACATGGAACCAAATGAACTGCATTACTCCATTCTACCACCATTACTGTTAACACTAATTACTCATAATGACCAGAACAATAAACAACATTCTCATATCCACCAGATTTGTCATCATTCAGGTTAATGATTTATATTTGTTTTGGTAGGTCTAGGCCTCCTGCCCGTGGTGGATGTACATCTGATCCATGTGACATTCTCAGATAGTTAACAAAAGAAATGATGTTTCAATTGAGACTCAAAACACCTCTGGTGTGAGGCTGAGTCACAAACTTAAACTGTTTTAATAACACTAAGTATGGTACAAGTTTCTTTTTCTACGTTCAAGTTACAGTTAAAGAAAAAACTATTAAGAGTGGACTCCCCCGCACCCCCTTTTTTTAATTGTATGTTCTGTGATGGAAAAGCTATGAGTGGAAAGAGGGCTATTAAAGATCAGATACATACAACTTTCATGCTGGTGGCTCGCAGTTGCCTCCATCATTGAACTTGTCTCATGCTTCCCAGGTCCAAAATATCTGTCATCCTTTGTGTTCCTTTCAGCAGTATGTATTCCCTGGGTTGAACTTATAACTGTTGAGAAACCATTCTTATCTGCAGCACTGCTTAACTCAGTAGCCTTAGAAGCAGTGGAATCAGACACTGAAGAGACAGTTGGCTTATCCACTTCTTCTCTGCTATTGGACAACTTCCGGAAATCAGTTGCCTTTGACTGCAAAGAAAATGCCAGTGTTCTCCCAGAACCACCGGCCTCTTTTCTGGACTCAGCTGGCAACTCTGATCTTATACTAGTTCTCGGTACAATTACAGGTATGACATCAGACTTGTTAAAAGTTGGAAGATTGGCTGTTGAATTGATCTTAGTAGAACTCCTCTTCAGGGTTGTTGCACTAGGAACTGCTGCTGAACTAGCCGCAATAGTTTTTGGACTGGAGTTCAAATTGATCCTTTGAGGAGTACCAGGAACATTTCCTGTGGCTTCATTCAGGATGGATAGCCAGACATAAAAAGTCTAAACATCAGAGAAGTAATAACAAAAGGACATGCAAAGAGGCCAAGATAAGATCCATGATAAAACAAATCTGAGAATCCCAAAAACAATAGATACACACAAAAATACTCCATGAAGAAATTAAAAACAGTAAAGGTTAAAAAGTTGCCTACATGCAATAACTTTTGGCTCCTTAGTGGGATCTGAATTTTGAGAAACTGATAACCTTCCAAGAGATTTTGTTTCCTTCACTAAAGAATCTGAACATTGGGAAACAGATAGCCGACCCAAACTTTTAGCAGCATTCTCATTGAGTAATGACAGATTCCCGCCAGACAACGGTTTAGATTCTGTGTGCCCATTCAATCTGCTAGCATTACCAATTGCATACGGTTCTATGCGCTGTGCCAAGCAACAGATCAGTTTGATATCAATAGATAATACCACCAGAACTAGAAAACAAGAAAACATCTCAATGTAAGAACAAAGATAAACTGAGTAATACCGAGATGTCTACAACCCACACTCCAACACAACTCTGATTGTATGAGCATCCAAGAAGCTTTCCCTCATGAACATTAAGATCTGACAATCGAGACCATCCAACATCCACGGCATCATGGCATCTTATTGGCTCCCACGAGAAAACCTACATACTAAGAGTTTAAGCATGCAAATTTCACAACCCTGATTCATATGAAGGATTACATGAGCTTACCTTCAAACTTTCATGCAATCCACAGAGTAGGGCTCTCCCATCAGGACTAAAAGTCAAAGAACGCACTCCAGTTGTCTGTTAGAAACTAGAAATTAGACAAATAATCTCCTTATAGAAAGACAATCCTGAAAACATTAGCTTCTTGGCAATTTGGACCATTAGCAGTATTCATGGGGTATACCTCAGGTCCAGATGAGCCAATTAACTCAAAGGTTTCGAGGTCCCAAAATTTGACTGTCCTATCAGCTGAACCTGAAAGGAAATGAGAAATAATACATAAGGAACAGATGTGGAGTCTAACAGATGAAAGTATTTCCACCCCTTAACAGAAAGGAGAAATGTCTCACAAATTAATAAAAGCTCAACCATGCATATTTTTAACCATAACAGTTGCAAACTAGTTGAAAACTAAGATAAGATTTAGAACCTAGATGTATGAGGTATCTACATATTCCATCTTATGTCACAGAAAGAAGTCGCAATTATTAAACCCAAGGGAGTGAGGGAGTCCTTCTTTGTAGCTGGTCCTGCCCATTGTACAGAAAACCTACTCTTAACAACACAAAGCACCAGAGACCAGGGTATTCAATGATCAAAATGATGCAGTTAAGAACCAATGGCTATACAAACCTAGAATTTTCATAAGAAATGAAAATAATGGGTTAAACTACCATCTATAGCAAGGGAGAAGCGGCTTACAATGAGGCAATGATCTATGTTCAGCAGTAGGAGGACAAAACGGCACTAAAACAGAAAAATCCAATATCTCGAGGGACTATCGTGACACACCAAGGATATCGACACCTATTTTCAATTGCCAGGAAACAATGCATTCTAACATACAGCTAATAACGCAAGCAAAATGCATAACTGATGATTAAAAAACAGAAGTATCAATAACCTGTAGCTAGCAGAAACTCGTGGGGATGAAAATCTATGCACTGAATCTGGCCCTCATGACACTTGAAATCATGCAGCAGCTTACCAGCAGTCAGATCCCACAACTGGTAAAATATTAGATATTGGTTTATATTTTGTCAAAATCAAATGGCAAATTTTGGTTTACTATCTACAAGTTACATGTATCAACATCTATAATTGCCCAAGAAGATAGAAGCAAATATTTTTCAAGACGAAAGCAATTCAAACCTTCACCGTGTTGTCCTCTCCACCAGAAACAACCCAACGGCCATCCGGTGTAAATCTGATAGCGTTGACTCCTCGAGTATGGCCTTTGTATGTGTGAATACACCCCTTCTTCCTGATATCCCATATTTTGAGATTTGTGTCCAGCGAGCCAGATGCAAAGAACTCCCCAAAAGGATGGAAGTCCACAGATATACAATTGGATCTGTGACCAGTAAGTGTGCGAACAACTACACACAAAATCACATTGCAAAAACAATAAAGATATATCAAAGACAATTTGACAGCATACAGCAGATATCTAGAAAAACAGCCAGTACAGTTTCGATAGGGGCAGTCTCTTGTTCTGATGATTTAAAGAAATATATTGCAGAGTAAAAAATAAATGGCATACTCTTTGCCTCTTCTAAATCCCAAAGCTTAATTGTGCCACTTGCAGCTCCTGCAGCTACTAAGACCTCTGAAGAATCAAAGCTTACCGAATCAATTCCACTGGTGTGTCCAGACAAACTCTGGGTACGAAGGCACATTGAGTAGATTAGAATCGACAAAATAACAGAATTTGGTCTAAGTTGATAATTATACAATTTCAGTGGAAAATTTGCATCTGTGTCAGTTAACCTCACAAGAATATGATGAGGGCTGAAAACCTTTAAATTAAGAGGAGAAGAGAGAAGAGGAGGGTGGTTAAGAGAGCGAGAGAGGGAGAGAAGGTTACCAGTATGGCATTGGGTTTCCCAATGGCCCAGAGATTGACCTTGTGATCTTCTCCGCCAGTGACAAGAACTCTGGAAGATTTTCTCCCAATCTTAAGGCAATTCACAGCTGAAGAATGTGCTACGAATTCCTCTGAGCCACAACCCAGGTTAAGGCTAAAACTTTCGGATACATATTCTTCTCAGTCTGATACTTATGAATACACACATACATACATACATGTGTTTAAAGATTAAAAATATATATATAGATTGTGCAATCAGCAGGTGAGGGAGGGAGATTGTATGGTAATTTCAGGAACATAATTAAATCAAGAGGAGGATACGTAGTTTGTAAGCGCGTTTAGTAGTCATGGGCAAAGAAAGAAGAGAAACCCTAGCAATTCTTTCAAGGTTTATCTTTTCTGTAAATAAATATAGCAGTACCAACTCTCCACTCCACACATTCAACTCAAATCTTGCGCCCTTGGAGAAAAAAAATCAAATCTTGCGCTGATTAAGAGGATGCTGATGCTGATGGGCGTTTCATCTTGTTCAGGCCGGATCTCGAAGAATTCAATCCGTACCTTCAAATTTCAAATTTCAAAATTCTAATACACACAGACTTTAGGGATATAATAAATTAGATCTTCAGGCTTGAGAGTAGGAAGAGAGAAAAATAATAATAATAATAATAGGCTCAAAAAGAACAGTTGAAGCTTACAGAATGAGGTACATTGCGGAAGGAAATGAACAACGTTGCTTGGTCCTTGGCTTGGAGGCTCCTTTTTTCCGCTCAAGTTGAGGCCGTCTCGACTCTCTGCCTTGTTCCTTCACACTCTACATTACATGGTTTAGTCTCTTCTCTTTCTTGTCAAAATTGAAAATATACGCAACACAGAGACGAAACAGTAGCGTAATAGAGTATTCTTACAAGATAATTAAACTAGGAGGAAGTTACTGTCGCAGCCAGGCAGAGACTGAGTATTATAAGCAAAGGCAAAGGCAAAGGCATGGATTTCCTCGTCGTCTTCTATTTCTCTGCTTCCAACTCCACATCATTTCCCAGCCTCCTCCTCCTCAGTCCATTTCTATTCTATTTCTCTTTCTTTCTTTTTTTTTCTTTTTTTCTTTTTTTATTTTGGTTGCTCAAGTACAAAGGCAGCGGCGGGCCAGTGCCAATATATGTGTAAATACGCATAAGCAGAGTAAAGACGCTGTCACGAATTGAGTCACCCTCCGCCCTCCTTAAATGTATAATAACATTTTATTTTTGGCTTTTGTTTGATTTTTTTGTTTTTTTTCGTTTTATTGGAATTGTACTTTGAAGTTTTTGGAATTATAAAAAATAAAAACAATAAAAAATAAAAAACACTTGGAGGAAGTATTGTATTAAAATCTTTTTCTTCTTCTTTCCAAAGTAGCCTTGTCCCGGAAGATAAATCAATCTTAAAATGAGAGCTGGGTCTCTCTCCCTCCTTTCCCAAGTCAAAATAAAACAGACTACCCACCCATCACTCACCTTCCTCAACTCTCTCTCACCTTTCTATTTATATCTCTTTGCCTTTTCTTCATTTTTCTTTCTTTTTGAGAAGCCTTTTCTTCATTTTTGTTGTTTTAGTTTATCAATTTACTATTTAATCTATGGCAATCTATGTGTGAGCCACTCTTTAACACGACCACCCAAGATTACCCATCACACTTTGTCACAACTTCAATTAGAGATGCTGAACTCGGACCGAAAAATAAATATAGATGCTTAATAGCTTGACCTTAAAAAAGTACGCAAATTGTACAAGTACATGGTCACAAATTGCTAACTCTAAGCCCTCGGAAGAGGTAACGATAAAACATGGCGTAATACTATGGCATAAAATACATGTTATGTTTGTTGTCAACCTCAAGCCCCTCGAAATAGTACAACTTTCAGAAACATCTATATCTGAATATATTCAGATCTTGAAGTACTTATATCCATCCTCTGTGTTGGTCATCCCCTCTTCCCAATCACCAATTCTTTGCCCGCCAAAAACTATCTGTTGAATGCCAAGATATCTGCCAACAAGAAAGCAAGGAAACAATGCAATGTAGTCAATATCCGTCCAGTCAAAGATTGAGACATCTCTCTTTCGATTATTCAGACTTACTCTGAGCTCAAGACGGTCAAGCAGTTGAGGAGCACATCCATGGCAAAATAGTCAGCTGTACCAAGGTCTACCCTGTTGTACATTTATATTTGAACTATCATATGGACAAGAATTACAAAGTATTACAAAACAAAAATTCAGCAAGTTCTGCAACGCATACCAAACACGACCCCAGTTATCCTGAAACTCAACGTCACTGATATCATGAAATGAAGATGGCATCACTTTGAAACCCTTATCCACATCATAGAGGGGATTATACTCCATGGAAGAATTTGCAAGCTGCCAACAATGCTATGTTAGCGCATTTCAATTGTTTTACACAAAGCAACAACTATTACTAGAATTTTAAAGCAATTGACAAGATGAAGCACTTTCTGCAAGTTTCTGCATATGTTTTATAAAGCAAAAGGACCTGATACAATTGCCTCTTGCGTTAGGAAAAAAAGTTGTAAGCTAGTTGAATAATGAACTCAGTTATATGAATTTACAACATGTGTTATTCGCATAGCCAATTACCATCTACAAAAACACTCTACATAGCATATAATTGATACTATGTTACAATCTAATACCAACAACGCCAACAATATGCCAAACTGATGTGATAAGGACTTCAGTTGTATTAGATTCTGTGGTATAAAAAAATATGCAACACAACACAAACATTTCAGAAACCAAATCTCTTCCACTTTTTACTGGTCTACACCCAAATTCCAGTTGTATTATACTGCAAATCGTTTTCCTCCCAAATTGTCAGCAACCAGATGATGCATTGATGAATAAGAATGAGATGTTATAAGCCCAGTGAGGCAAACAAGAAACGGGTTCCTTTTTGAAAGTTGTAAATGGTTCATTATCAAAAGGCTGGCTGTAATTGCTAGGAGCGTATGCATTTCTGATAACAGGATGTTGTTATATATGTCACTAGCATTGCCATGATCACCCTATAGTCAAAACCCCTCGCCACTCCTATCATCATATCTTCATATGTTGAATACCAATATACCATTTTAAGATCACCAATCCGGCTAAACTATTCAGAATTACCAATATACCATTTTACAAATGTTCAGTAAAGTTGTAAGAACTTAAGGTCTTAAGCAATAATAACTCGCAAAACAATAAAGTTAGTCATAGCAGGCCACGAACCTGCAGATTAGTAGAATTAAAGGCACCCAAGCGTCCCATAACATACCATGACTGAATAACCTGCACAAATTTCCCAGTAGATTCAGTGGAAATAATAAATCATCCAGATAGGAAAAAAGAGTGTTTTTCTAAGGCCTAATGTTCAAAATACAGAAAGGAAGCAAGTGGAAATACACTGCCAAAGAGCTCGACGTCACGATCAGATGGTGATCCATAGAATTCAAACCATATGTAGGAATCAAGAGGATTGAAGCTGCCAGGCACCAAAAGAACATTTAATAATATTAAAGAAAAAGCATAGTTTGCATTTTATTTATTTATTTTACAAATCAAATGGAACACTAGGCTACGTTATGCAGACAAGAAAGAAAGAAAGAAAGATGAGAAATTTACTCTCTGAAGGTGACTTTGAAGGCAAGGACAGAACCGGTTTTGGATTTGCTGAAGTCCCTACCCTTCTTGCGAACTCTTTCTTCAACCCTTTTCCTCATGAGCTCAGGGTTGCCAATGCTATCTCCAAGAACCGCTCGCAGCTCAGCATCGTCTTTGCAGGCGTCTTCCAACACTCTGCGAGAGGGAGGGAGGGAGAGAGACCCAATAGGCAACAGGAAATACATAACAAATTAATAAATAATAAATATGAAAAAGAAAAACAGAGAGAGAGCACTACTTGGCCCAGGCAGGGTAGTTGTGAAGGCGATCGTGCTCGCGTTTCCTCTTCTCTTCACGAATTTTAAGAAGTCTGCGTCCTCTGGCAGTGGTTCCTGAGCCTTTGGCACCACCACCAACACCCAGACCCAGCTCATTGGTACTGGTATTGGTGCCATTGGCAGTGGCACATACTAGTAATAAGAGCCGAGGTGGCTTTGGCAGATAGGAATTGGGATTGGGAAAGACCGTTTTCTTCTTCCATGAATGACAGTGGGATTCTTCAGTTCTACTACTTTTATTATACGGAAGTATAAAGCCGCCTTTAGCTGTGGCTCCTGTGGCTATGGCCGCCTTCATTTCATTTATCCACTCCTCTATTCCCTTTGACAAGAGACAATGTGTTTCTAAATTCCATACTCTTTTTTCTTTGTCTCCCGCAACCGCTGGAGCGCAGTTAATGAGATACTCCCTCTACTAGAGCGAGCCCATTCTGTTTACCAAAGCAGGAAACTTCAAAGCCCAATCTGCGAATACGGGAATAGGGGTGATTTTAAGACAGGTCGGATCGGAATTAGGAGATTTCAATTTCAATCCAAAAATATTCAGAATGAAAATTATATTCCAAATTTGTTCTAAAAAATTTCAGAACAATATCCATTTTAATTCGGAAAACTCTGAATTTTTGAAACTTATATATTTTTTGGGAATATTTTTATTTCAAAATTCTAAAAATGTCCAACCATTTGAATGATTAAAATCGACTCAAAATTAAAAAATCATATGGTAAACTTGTAAAAATATGAAATTAAGGGAGTTTCAAATTAGCTTTTATGCTCAAGGATTTTAGGTTAATGAAATTGCCCCTTACACCGTCAAAGAAATTGATAGGTGTTGGGGTCTTTTTCGTCCGAAGGCTCATCCGGGTTTTGTTGATTCTTGGATCCCCGTAGAGTAATGAATGAAGACTTCGTTGTCCCTTTGTTTGAGTTAGCGAGAACTATGCCTAAAGTATCCCGAGGGAGAAGCAAGTCCCGAGGGAGTACATTGTTCTTCTTTTAGCGGCTGCGTGTTTTGTGTTGATGTTTCTGGCAGCTCAACGAAGAGTTGAAGATGACTTGCTGATGTTGATATTAGATTATATGGGTTTGACATGAGAGCTTGGAGTGTGGGAGCTAAAGACCCACAAGTTTAGCAAATGAGAATGCATGTGCTTGACTTTGTGTTTGATATATTTGAGTTTGGTGTTTATAATTTGTTGTGTGTGGCTATAGCTATGGGGATTTAAGAGTTTCACGAGAATGAGGATGGAAGGAAAAACTTGAGGTTTGAAGGCTATGATGTTTAAAACTTGGAATGAATGAAAAGCTTGGAGTTATGCTTGGTGAGGCTTTACGGAGAAGATGATGGATTTCAATGGTGAGAAAGTAGAAGACATGGTTGTGATGGCTAAGGAATAACTATGAAGGCTACTGGAATACTTGCAACAGCTAAGGAAAGGTGAGTTCTCATGGTTGCTGAGAAGCTTGCAGCAACCAAGAGGGGTTGATGGCTGCTGGGATGCTTACAGCAGCCGAGTGAGGAGTGTTGGCTGAAGAAAAATTGGTGCCCTTTGCTTGAGCCATGACTGCCAATTTACAGAAGGTGAAGGTTTTCCTTTATTTTCAATAGGTAAAGGGAGGTGCTAGAACCAGCCTCTTTCCAGTGGTTAAAAGAGAGCACTAGGGCATACTATTTTCCAGCATGTAAATCTAGGTACCATAAACTGATTATTTCCTATGGGTAAAAGGAAGCACTGGAAACTGCTTGTTGCCAATGGGTAATAGGAAGTGTTGAAAAATGCTTGTTTCCAATGGGTAAAGCTAGGTATTTGGAAAATGACTATTTCCTATGGGTAAAAGGAAGTGCTTGAAAAATATCGCATTTGCTCACCCACATTGGAGAACTCTAAGTAATGGGTTTGGACTTTGGTGCTCTCAAGTAGTTAGCCCAAAGTTTCCATTATCCGAGAGCTTCCATGGCCTTGTGGACCTCCGTAACCTTCCACACCACAATCCCTCATGCAAGCCCCGTAAACCACATGACTTGGGTTCATGTGAGCTTGATAGGTGATCGACATGAAAAAATATTATTAGTTTGACATGGCATGTACGCTATTTCTATATTTATTTAATGAATTAAATCCCAAAATACAGTTTGAATTAACGCATGACTGACATTATATGTTATATTGGGCTTTAAATGTCTTTGGGCTTCCCGTGACTTTTTTGGGCCTCAACAATAGGAATACTAATTTGTCATTGAATTGCTACAAATTTACTCAAAAACTCGAGTTTAGATAGAAATTGATATGAAATACTCAAAAACTCCGTCTGAGTAAATCCATGAATAAGGTGTTTGAGGGTAAAAGGCAATGTTTAGATATCACACATGTTGCCTCTATTTCAAATTCTCGATTAAACTCAACAACGTTTTAAGTTTTAAGTAAATTTAGGTTTTAGCCAAAAAAAAAATTCACTTTTAGAAAAAGCCAAAGCTTTTTCAAAAAAGACAAAAAAACCTCTTAACTTTCAAATCAAAGATATGCAAATGTAAAAGATTTCTTAGGAAATCCAAAAATAAATAAGTGCAATTTTGTTCATTTTGGCTTCTTTTACAAAATTTCTCTCTCCTTTGTGTTTTTCCAAAGTCTCCCAATGTTTTATATGTTTTAATATTTCCCACAATCTTTTATTTGTTCATCAAGTTGTTTCTGATAATCAATGTCACATAACTTTCACATTTCACTCCGCATGGATGTCCTGTGAAGGATATAGCTTCGGGGAGAGTTCCATTTCAATATTTCCCTTCATCCCCTTCTTCAATGTCGGAAGAAGTCTAAGTTCGAATCCCCATTCAGACCTGAAAAGTGAAGAGTTGGTTTGATCTACCTTGAAAAGTCCGGGAGTCGTAGAAATCGAAGCAAGTCTCTCAATTGTTCATAGCTCAACGCATCAATTTACAGTACTAATTTAAGTCATGTTAAGGTTAAGCGCATGGAGGTAGGTCATAGACTCAAAATAGAAAAAGATCACATTGCGTAAGATTTACTCATTCCTTATGTCCATCCACCAGAAAATGGGAAGATACACATAAATCAGTGGAGAAGAGGAGCTTTGCCTCTTCCATATTCTTATTAATTGGAAATCAAGTTTTGGGAAAATGCCAAATAGGAACTCGTGGATAGTAAACCATGAGCGTGACATTAGATATATAGTTGGGCGGTCGACAGATCAACAGCAACATCAACATTCCAATCCAACTAAACTCATGGTTACGAGACTGGCTTCAAAACATACATTTTGCATGCATGAGAGCCCACGGTGGCTGTCAAGTTTCCAACAAATCGTGCCTTCAATGTCTTGTGCTGCATGAAAGAGACATATCAGTAAATATCTCACAATACAATATGGCTGCAACGGAGTAGGAAGAACTGAGAAAGAATGCTAATTACGGCCTTATGTTAGACCATATAATTATAGGTTATACCTCCCAAAGGTCTCTTGCTTCAACAACACTGTTTGTGGGGATTCCAACATCATCCCAGTTAGCTGTAATGGAAGTTCGCGAAGGGCCTTGGTTGACAAGGAGTAAAGCTACTCTGTAGCCTGAGAGCGGACCAGCCCAAACCTGTTCAAAGTACATAAAATTGAGAGTCGATCAATCTCACAGACAGTGACAGAATTCTTACGGAAGCAGAACAGCAGCCTACATATATCAGAAGAGATTGCTGGCATTTTCAGTTTTACCTCAAGATCTCCTTCCATTCTGACCTTTTTGGCTTGCACACCAAGTGGATCTGTTACAGTTAATCAACACAAATTTACAATTCTGGGTTCTATTAATGCAAACTCGTTCAGTCACCAGGAAGGAAAACAAGTGTCTATCTAAAGGTTGTAGTTAGTTACCTTGGTTTACAGAGATAACTTCTTTATTTGCAACGATCTCCATTGTCTCTTTTGTGATATTCCTCACATCACAACCAAGAAGAAGGGGAGCCTGCAGCATGGCTTATGCATTACCAAACCGATGACCTTAAACTGCACATATCATATAAAAGAAGAGAAAATGTTTATGGTACCTTAGAAATGGCCCATATGCTAAAATGGACTACATATTCATCTTTTGTCATTCCTCCATTCCCCACTTCAAGCATGTCGGGATCTGTTGAAATTCAGCACATAAATCTCTTACTGAAACATCAACAATGTGCCTAAACGACAGTATAGGTAAAGCATAGTTGCATTAGAATACTAACCATTCCAACCACCAGGTCTGGCAAATTCAGCATAAACTTCGTTCATGTCTGCTCTAGAGACCATACTGCCAAGGGAAATGCAAGAAAAGTATTATGTGTGACCCATATAGAAGACCAATTTGAGAGTTCATTGGTAGCACACTTTTCTACCTTTCCCATGTATCGGAAATGTCTTTAGTAGTTCTCCAACTATTTCCTACTTTAGCACCCCATAGAGCAGGGTGCATATATCCCCTAAAAAACAAGAACAATTAGGGATTACTAACAAAAAAGAAAACAATTACATGATTTTTGAGTTTTAACAAACAAGATCATTACCCATCACAAAGAGAAAAGAATATGGGACGGCCTGCTTTCATCAGAGCTCGGGTCATTACAGGATATCTACAAGAAGATATAGAAATCTTTATCTGAGGTATACCTAATACAGGGAAACTTAAGTGCAGGCAGGAAGAACAAACATGAGCAGCGTTACTGCATTATCATCATAGATATTTTATTTTACCCAGCAGTTGGCTTTGAGCCATCATTATAACAGTCATCATACTTCAAATAATCAATTCCCTGCAAAAAAGTTGCAGTATTTCAAGATCCTATGACCAAATATCATCATTGCAGATGTCATGACTCCTTCTGATTAAAATCATTACAACATATCATACCCAAGCAGCAAATGTGTTGGCATCTTGTTCTTCATGGCCAAGTGAACCAGGCATTGTTTTGCTGCAAGTAAAATACCTGCAAAGTATAATTGCATGCACTATTTGTTTAGTTGTAACAAATATGAGTATATATCAACATTCAACAACAAATAGACAGCATATATTTTCTGTATTGGAGTGTATGGGAGTCATGTTACCCTGCATCTGAGTAGATTCCTAGCTTAAGACCCTTACTGTGGACATAATCCGCAAGAGATTTAATGCCTGATGGAAAGGTTGATTTCTTGGGCGCTAGATTACCCTGAATTTGAAATCTCATGCTTAGTAAATCTCCATATCCTTTTTAATCATTCTAAAAGCCGAATTGTTTATGATTAAAAACAGAACCTTGTCATCACGAGCAATTTCGGCCCAGCAATCATCTATAGATAGCAAGAAATGAAGTATGTCATCATCTTCTGACTAAATTGGAAATTACGAAGAGAAAAAGAAAATAGCAATGTACCAATGTTAACGTAGGTATATCCAAGTTTAGAGAGCCCGGTGGAAATCAGAGCATCAGCTGTCAAACCAGAGAAACAAGAACCGTTATTAAACCCTAATAAATTTACAAAACCAACAACCCCAACCATCAATGCATTTATCACTATGCTGCCATAGCTTTGGGAACATGGCTTTAGACTTAGTATATGAAGCTTGGATTAGGCATGAGCTTTGGTTACAGATTAAGCATAAGTTAAAGTTACCGGTTGCTTTGATGATTTTCTCATCAATTTTGCAGTTGAAGTGATTCCAACTATTCCACCTGATAAAAAAGAAAATACCTGATTAATCCCGCAAGTATTTGAAAAGGAATGAAAATATAAGGATTATAAAAATTGCAGTCAGCCGTGAGACATTTGAAGGGTCACAACTTCATAACTTCAAATGCGAGAGGAATCACTGAGTAGTAAATAATGATGAGATTTTCCCTTATTATTAAAGTCAAATAGGGGATTAGTATACAGACATGTATATGAAATGAATTTAACATACATAGTTAGAACTTAGAAGCTGAAAAATAAACTCTGATCCATATCGTACATACATACTGCAGTAAAAGTGCATGTGATATAGTTCAGGACACTAATTCGAATTACTAGAGTAAAAGTGCTAGGAGGAGTAAAACAAAGCATCACTGCAATCCAGAAAGGGAACAAAACAGAGAGGAATCACTAATTTTGCAGAAAGATGAGTGAACCATTGATATTTGATAACCGAACCAGCTAGCTAAAACCAACTAAAAACAGAGAAAGAAGCAGAGAGAGAGAGAGCTAGCTTAGCTTACCCCATGGGAGGAGTCAATGCAAGCCCATTGGCAAGCAGATTCCGTCTGTGCTGCTCTTGGGTTTCTGGCACCATCATTCTTGTTCTCTGCGAAGCAGAAACACCCATTAACATGGGTGGTGATATAAATGTGCAGAGCATCAACGCCATCACAATCGTCGTTGTTGGCACTACTGCACCGTCGGCGTCCTTTTCCCTCATGTTCAACATTTCTACCAATACTACTACTCTGCGTCTGTTGCTTCTTTTTCTTTGCTGTCTCTTACTCTATCACTCCCTCTCCTCTACTGCTCTCCAGTCTCCTGACACTCTCTCTACTCTGGACTCTAACCTAATGAAAACTGACAACAGCAGCAGTGCTTGTTACATATATAAGATATTTCTCATAGGATGAGAACATGATAGCCAACATTGCTAAACCATGACTCTGTTATTGACTTTGATTTTGACTTTGTTTTATGGGTAACCTTTTTATTTTTTAGTTTTCCATTATGTATATTTAAAAGGTAACAACTACAAATAAACTAAAATTGAAAACGGAAAAAAAATAAATTAGAATTTGCTTTTATTAGAAAGCAATCTTCCTCGAAAGTCAAGTGAGAAAAACTTGCTATGGTCAGCAATAGGGGTGGCATTTTAAACACCGCAATGAAACCGCAATTGCGGTAAATCGAACCGCATTTGTGGTATTAAGAACCGAACCGTATTTGCGGTTGCGGTTGCGGTATTTGATTTTCAAAATTTGCGGTTACCGCATACCGCAAAGTATAGCCGCACAGATAATGAAGTTGAATTCTACAAGGAAATGGAACATATGACAACTTGTAAGTAATTAGTTTATTTATGCTAATGTTATTTATGCTTCTTCTTATAATAAAATGTACTAAACTATGTTGTTTTATTTGTAGATTATATTGGTGCTCAAACAACACAACGGGGTTCTTCAAATCCACTCACCACCAACACTTAAGTTTGTAACTTTAGTTTGTAACATTGGTGCATTGCAATTTCCATTTAGTTTGTAACTTTAATTAACTTTGAATTTGATTTTTCTTTTTTGTTGTAACTTTAATTCATTTTGCTTTGCATTTTCCTTTTAGTTTATAACTTTAAAGGATTTGGAATTGGAATACTTGAGAAGTTTAACTTTAATTGGAATGCTTGGAATTGTAACTTTAATTTTCTTAGGTTGTGAATGCTTGAAAAGTTAAGAAAATTGTGAATTTATATATGTTTGAGAAATTGAGGTTGTGTATTTATTTATTTAGATTGTGAATTTATATTTTTGTGAATGCTTGAGAACTTGCGGTTTTCAACCGCTAATTCGCGGTAACCGACCGTATTTTGCGGTTTACTGCAATGCGGTAAACCGCAAAACGTTGTCGGTTTGCGGTTTCAAAAATCATCAAACCGCAAATAGTCGGTCGGTTTGCGGTTTGAGTACAAATTCGCGGTTACCGAACCGCAACCACCCCTAAGCAAGACACCTTAGTATCCCACACCAATCATATGATGCCAGCTGTCTATTGTTTTGCCTTCTCTTTTTCACCTATCTTTTCTCTTCCTTTCCGTTCCCTCTCGCCCGGTGGTATCCACCTTTGCCTTTGTATTTTTTTTCTTCTAGTCTCAACTCAATACTCCCCCTTTTAAGAACAACTCCACCCCAAGGTGCAAAGACAATGCAAAGTTTGTCACTATTCGTGTGAATAGTGATAACCTTACCCTTTTGGGTATGTGAATAGTGATAACCTTGCCTTTTTTATTCAACCCAAAAAGGCAAGAACAATGACAATTACTATTCATTTTAACCTTGCCCTTTTGGATCCGTGATACTATATTTTTGACACAAGTTTTCAACCATTAGATTGAAATGGATTGAAGGGCTAAGATTAACTAAACTAATTATATATTTTAAATAAAAATAATTATTAAAAATAATTATTAATTGACTTTCTTTTTCTTATTTCTCTATCGTCAATCAATGTTTTATAAAATCTTTATATTTCGTTGTTCTCTATCGTCTATAATTCTTCAATTAATGACTTTCCCATCCTTCTCCTCTTTCTTCTAAAACTTTACTGGTTTCTGATTCTTTTTCATCTCTATCCCTAACTTTGTTTTTTGCTTTTTTTTACTGCTTAGTTTTTGGGACAGTTATACATAGATTATGACTCTCGAAGTAACGGCTTGGGGATAAAACCCCATCCACACACACACACAATGAACTGCACAACAAACTGTCTTTTGCCATATATTTTTTAATGTTATTATTAATCATAATGAATAAAAGCTTGTAAGCCATTAAGATTTCAATTTCAATCCAAAAATATTTGGAATGAAAATTATATTCCAAATTTGTTCTAAAAAATTTCGGAACAATATCCATTTTAATTCGGAAAACTCTGAATTTTTGAAACTTATATATTTTTTGGGAATATTTTTATTTCAAAATTCTAAAAATGCCCAACCATTTGAATGATTAAAATTGACTCAAAATTAAAAAATCATATGGTAAACTTGTAAAAATATGAAATTAAGGGAGTTTCAAATGAGCTTTTATGCTTAAGGATTTTAGGTTAATGAAATTGCCCCTTACACCGTCAAAGAAATTGATAGGTGTTGGGGTCTTTTTCGTTCGAAGGCTCATCCGGGTTTTGTTGATTCTTGGATCCCTGTAGAGTAATGAATGAAGACTTCGTTACCCCTTTGTCTGAGTTGGTGAGAACTAGGCCCAAAGTATCCCAAGGGAGAAGCAAGTCCCGGGAGAGGACTTTGTTCTTCTTCTAGCGGCTGCGTGTTTTGTGTTGATGTTTCTGGCAACTCGACGAAGAGTTGAAGATGACTTGCTGATGTTGATATGAGATTATATGGGTTTGACATGAGAGCTTGGAGTGTGGGAGCTAAATACCCACAAGTTTAGCAAATGAGAATGCATGTGCTTGGCTTGGTGTTGGATATATTTGAGTTTGGTGTTTATAATTTGTTGTGTGTGGCTATAGCTATGAGGATTTAAGAGTTTCAAGAGAATGATGATGGAAGGAAAAACTTGAGGTTTGAAGGCTATGATGTTTAAAACTGGGAAGGAATGAAAAACTTGGAGTTATGCTTGGTGAGGCTTTATGGAGAAGATGATGGATTTCAAGGATGAGAAAGTAGAAGACATGGTTGTGATGGCTAAGGAATGACTATGAAGGCTACTGGAATACTTGTAACAGTTAAGGAAATGTGAGTTCTCATGGTTGCTGAGAAGCTTGCAGCAACCAAGAGGGGTTGATGACTACTGGGATGCTTACAGCAGCCAAGTGAGGAGTGTTGGCTGAAGAAAAATTGGTGCCGTTTGCTTGAGCCATGACTGCCAATTTATAGAGGGTGAGAGTTTTCCTTTATTTCCAATAGGTAAAGGGAAGTGCTAGAACCAGCCTATTTCTAGTGGTTAAAAGATAGCACTGGGGCATACTATTTTCCAGCATGTAAATCTAGGTACCATAAACTGATTATTTCCTATGGGTAAAAGGAAGTACTAGAAACTGCTTGTTTCCAATGGGTAATAGGAAGTGTTGGAAAATGCTTATTTCCAATGGGTAAAGCTAAGTATTTGGAAAATGACTATTTCCTATGGGTAAAAGGAAGTGCTTGAAAAATATCTCATTTGCTCACCCACATTGGAGAACTCTAAGTAATGGGCTTGGACTTTGGTGCTCTCAAGTAGCTAGCTTAAAGTTTCCATTATCCGAGAGCTTCCATGGCCTTGTGGACCTCCGTAACCTTCCACACCACAATCCCTCATGCAAGCCCCGTAAACCACATGACTTGGGTTCATGTGAGCTTGATAGGTGATCGACATGGAAAAATGTATTATTAGTTTGACATGGCATGTACGCTATTTCTATATTTATTTAATGAATTAAATCCCAAAATACAGTTTGAATTAACGCATGACTGACATTATATGTTATATTGGGCTTTAAATGTCTTTGGGCTTCCCGTGACTTTTTTGGGCCTCAACAATAGGAATACTAATTTGTTATTGAATTGCTACAAATTTATTCAAAAACTCGAGTTTAGATAGAAATTGATATTAAATACTCAAAAAGTCCGTCTGAGTAAATCCATGAATAAGGTGTTTGAGGGTAAAAGGCAATGTTTAGATATCACACATGTTGCCTCTATTTCAAATTCTCGATTAAACTCAACAACGTTTTAAGTTTTAAGTAAATTTAGGTTTTAGCCAAAAAAAAAATTCACTTTTAGAAAAAGCCAAAGCTTTTTCAAAAAAGACAAAAAAACCTCTTAACTTTCAAATCAAAGATATACTCAAAAACTCCGTCTGAGTAAATCCATGAATAAGGTGTTTGAGGGTAAAAGGCAATGGTTAGATATCACACATGTTGCCTCTATTTCAAATTCTCGATTAAACTCAACAATGTTTTATATGTTTTAATATTTCCCACAATCTTTTATTTGTTCATCAAGTTGTTTCTGATAATCAATGTCACATAACTTTCACATTTCACTCCGCATGGATGTCCTGTGAAGGATATAGCTTCGGGGAGAGTTCCATTTCAATATTTCCCTTCATCCCCTTCTTCAATGTGGGAAGAAGTCCAAGTTCGAATCCCCATTCAGACCTGAAAAGTGAAGAGTTGGTTTGATCTATCTTGAAAAGTCCGGGAGTCGTAGAAATCGAAGCAAGTCTCTCAATTGTTCATAGCTCAACGCATCAATTTACAGTACTAATTTAAGTCATGTTAAGGTTAAGCGCATGGAGGTAGGTCATAGACTCAAAATAGAAAAAGATCACATTGCGTAAGATTTACTCATTCCTTATGTCCATCCACCAGAAAATGGGAAGATACACATAAATCAGTGGAGAAGAGGAGCTTTGCCTCCTCCATATTCTTATTAATTGGAAATCAAGTTTTGGGAAAATGCCAAATAGGAACTCGTGGATAGTAAACCATGAGCGTGACATTAGATATATAGTTGGGCGGTCGACAGATCAACAGCAACATCAACATTCCAATCCAACTAAACTCATGGTTACGAGACTGGCTTCAAAACATACATTTTGCATGCATGAGAGCCCACGGTGGCTGTCAAGTTTCCAACAAATCGTGCCTTCAATGTCTTGTGCTGCATGAAAGAGACATATCAGTAAATATCTCACAATACAATATGGCTGCAACGGAGTAGGAAGAACTGAGAAAGAATGCTAATTACGGCCTTATGTTAGACCATATAATTATAGGTTATACCTCCCAAAGGTCTCTTGCTTCAACAACACTGTTTGTGGGGATTCCAACATCATCCCAGTTAGCTGTAATGGAAGTTCGCGAAGGGCCTTGGTTGACAAGGAGTAAAGCTACTCTGTAGCCTGAGAGCGGACCAGCCCAAACC